AGAGAGAGAGAGAGAGAGAGAGAGAGAGAGAGAGAGAGAGAGAGAGAGAGAGAGAGACTCTAGTTGAACAACGAGTCAATTCGCAGTTATCGAGGTTGATGTCAGGTCGTGATCTGTCTGGTGAGTGACCACCTTTGAGAAGTGGCAGACCACCTTCAAGAAGTGTCAACCTTCACGAAGTGCCAAACAGTCAGCGGTCAGAGGAATCGAGTGCTAAAAGCATTCTTAGGGGACCTTGCGATCGTGTTCAGAACATATTGGCGTAGCACTAGATGCTCACCAAGCAGTTCTGGATGTCGGTTATATCGACACATCATAAGATGCCTTACAAGCAAGCAGCGGCTGCTTGCAGGACCTTCTACCCGGTATGGATCTTTGAGAGCAGAGTTTCGCACTCCACCGTGAGATCCACATCGGATAGGTGGACCTGCCATCCTACCGCTGTTAGCTGTAGTCATATTGAGGGAGTCGATGAGGTGAGGACCCGGCAAAGAAAACTCTTAGGGGACTTTGCTGCCGTGTTTTTGGAACTTATTGGCGTAGCACTAGATGTTCACCAGGCAGTTCTGGATGTCGGTTATATCGACAAATCATAAGATGCCTTACAAGCAAGCAGCGGCTGCTTGCAGGACCTTCTACCCGGTGTGGATCTTTGAGAGTAGAGTTTCGCACTGCACCGTGAGATCCACATCGGATAGGTGGACCTGCCATCCTACCGCTGTCAGCTGTAGTCATCTTGAGGGAGTCAACGAGGTGAGGACCTGGCAAAGAACACTGTTAGGGGATTTTGCTGCCGTGTTTGGAACATATTGGCGTAGCACTAGATGCTCACTAAGCATTTCTGGCAGTCGGTCATATCGACACATCATAAGATGCCTTACAAGCAAGCATCGGTTGTTTGCAGGACCTTCTACCCGATGTGGATTTTTGAGGGCAGAGTTTCGCACTCCACTGTTGGCTATAGTCCTCTTGAGAGTCGATGAGGTGAGGACCCGGCAAAGAACACTCTTAGGGGACTTTGCCGTCGTGTTTAGAACTTATTGGCGTAGCACTAGATGTTCAACAAGCAGTTCTGGATGTCGGTTATATCGACACATCATATGATGCCTTACAAGCAAACTGTGGTCGGATCCCGTCCCCCATCCCCGACGCGGATCTATGAGAGCAGATTTGAGGCAATCCACCGTTAGATCCACATCGGAGAGGCGAAGTGGTCATCCTACCGCTGTTCAGTGTAGTCATCATGTGGGAGTCGACATCGCAAGAACCCGACGATGTTCCAATTGGGACGTGCGCTTGTTTCGTGATGTGCAGGTGCTTACCGGCGGTGCGTTCGATCCCCTCCGTAACGTGAAGCAAAGTGCGAGGGAATTGAAGTTGATGATTTCCACCAAGAATTTGATTTCCTGGCTGTGCTAATTCCATGCGAATTAGTACAGAGAAGCATGTGCCCATTACTCCAGCAATTGCACCAAAGATTAGATATAAAGTACCTATATCCTTGTGGTTTGTGGAAAACAGCTCACACCAGAAGTGCGATTGAACTCGCACTGTGATGGAGAAGCAGTTGTGCAGTCCATCAGCGCGATGATGTAATATGGACATTGGTTTGTCATTTGTATATTCCAGGTTGAAAACGTCATCAAATCTTTCTGTGTAGAAGATTCATATCCATTCATACAAGTATCTCTTGTCATTGCAAACATCGAGATGAAAACATCTCAAGTCAAATTGCAAAGCACACAGAGACATCGCAAAAATCGAGGTGAAAACATCTCAAGTTGCCTAGTGTTTTTCCAAAGGTGAAGTCTTACAGCACACGAACAGTTTCCAGAAACCATTCAATGCAAAAAATTCCTTCAATGGCAAATTACAAAGCACACATAGACGTTTCAAAAAATCATTGAACGCAAAATATCATACAATCCCAAAAAGTCATTGCAAAGTATCATACAATCCCAAAATATCATACAATTACAAAAAGTCATTGCAAAGTGCACGGAGGCTTTCCAAAAAGCACAAAGTACATGGAGCCAAAGCGCGAATATGTTCGCATGTCTCATATGGAACCGATAGTTCAATCACAAATGTACAGCATCCAAAGTGCGAATATGTTCGCATTTCTCATACGGAAACAACAGCTAGCATTCCGTGGAGAGCACGAGATGTATTCCGGGGATAACAAAATTGGTAATCATTTAGTGCACCGCTGAATCCGTAAAACAACTTCAAGCACACATACATTCTGGCGACAATTGATTTCCGAATCAAGAACACGTTCGCAATTGTCATAAGGAACAAACCGACAGCATTCAATGGAGACAAGCAGAGAGGGTGAACCGTAAAATGGAGCGGCACACGCAGAATAAGGGCGAGCTACAACATAGTAAAGCAAGGTGGTCAGGGTGGGACGGGGGAGAGGGGCTTTCACACCACAAAGTCTCGCGGACGAAAGAGATAAGCACGAAACAATTTGGCGACCAAGAATAAATCGTCGATATCTTTCACTAAGAGCATGAGTGCAAAATGTTTACAAGAGGACGAAGACGTCCCATGAGTAACAGAGCAGCACAACCTCGAAACGAACAAACGCAGCACGACGCGGCAAACGCAGCACGGTGCTGCCGAGGTCTGAACGCCGGGATATTCAAATCCCATATCTAAGCATCTACTTAAGAGATACTGCACCACTTGGCTGGGATATTTACATCGACATCTAAGATTGTACTTCACGTAAGCGTCCACTGCAACCCTCTAGCTGATGTTGCGCGGCAAGCAACGAGAACAACCGGAAAACAAACAAAGGCAGCACGGCGCTGCCGAAAGGCGTACGAGTAAAGATGACAGGTTCCTCGAAATGAAGAACCCTTAAAAAATTGCTACAGCACGAGGCTGGGATATTCAAATCGACACCTAAGCGTTTACTTGACCAAAACGTCCACTGCAATCCGGTACCTCATCAAAACAACAGCACAGCTCGAAGCGGATGACTGGTAGATCAAGTGGGGATAAATTCACACTTCTGCTTATAGCATTTCGAAAAAAAAACTACGTGTATTTTAACAACAGTGGTATCATTCAACGCCTTGGAGTATGTCCACCGCAATCCTCAGCCGGATGTCTGGAATGTCGCTTTGGGCTATTGGAAATGGTGGCGGACAGCCGCGTGCAAGAAATGAAGCGAAGGCGAGCATGAAAACACCGCAGTTCGACCCGTCCGATTGTTGAGGGACACCACGAACAACCACCTTGGGCTCCTGGAGATCCACTTTCGTTTTTTGACCATAATGACAAACTGCTTCGTCACGGAGGTATTGCGTGAAGTTCGCAATCACATCAAAAGAAAAACCGCCATCGTCTTGTACGAGGGAGTCGTATTACTCCAGCCGTTGTTCTCGGAGACACAATCGGGTCCAATGCACTCCATGTTTATGGACAGGAATCATCAAGACCATCTCGTACGAGAAAATATCCACATCTTCTGTCCATCTTGCAACCCTATCATGTCGAAAGCCACCACGAACGAGCTTGGTATAGAAAAAGGGATTGAAAATGTAAAGAGAGGGACACCCAGGCAACGCAGCGTTGGCAAGCAAGGCCAAGTACGACTCCACCACCTCGTCGGAAAGCCATTCCCCTTGAACAAGAGTTTGAAGACTTTTTCTGCTCAACGGAATTGAACTGACCCCTTTGCGAACCGAGGATACCACCTCGTGGCCGTTGCTGAAATCTCCGCAGACGTTCCGCAACATTCTCCAGTCCGTAGCACTAAGCTCCTCAGTAGGCAACGGAACGCGAAAACATGATGTAGCCCCAACTGCACAAACACCCACGAACAAGTGTGAGGAGTGATCAAAATCACCGCGGCGAAATGGCTAAGAACCGTCTGCCATTTTCCCTGAAAAGTTGTAACCCCGACTGTTGAATGTGTCCTTGGCGATGTACTTAGGACACGGGTCTTTCAAGACACCCCGTTTGGCATCGTCATCAGACCCATCAGACAAAGCAGTAACGCCTTCAATAGACGGAGCCAAATGTTTCCGCAAACCTTCCTCCTTATCTATTCCACAAGCCTTCAGAACCCTGAAAGCTCTCTGGGAAAGGCAAGGCATCTGGACCCTTTTAAACAACCCTACACTTGACGACTTCTTCGGTCAAGCGGCCAATGACCTCCCTGAAAGACATTTCTCGCTCACGACTTTTACAGGCTTCATGGGCACAGACACTGACAACCTCACACCTGTAGAACATAGAAAACAACCCACAACCCACAAACGTTTTTTTAACAAGTGGTAAAAGGTACATTAGCCCATGACATCGATTTGGACGAACACAGAGCTGGCTAGTGACAGATATGCGAGTGCTCCTATTCACAAATCTTACCGTGTTCGGGAGGCCTTTAAGGGAACTCGCCCCTCCTGTCGCGCCACTGCGCCAACGTCCACGGACGATTCGAGGTTCTGCACCTCGGCCACGGCTGTGTCGCTAACCAGCTCCGTGGCAGTTGAGTCGCTAGGCAAGTCGATGGGTTCATGTGGCACCATTTCCTGACCGGTATTGAGGACAGACACTCGATCACCCTGTTCTGCACCACAACGGGTGGACGGAGAATCATGATCTTTCTGCTCTGGATCCATCTTGATGCTGACGGCCACCTCACCACCTTCCACGGAGGATTCGACGTTCTGCATCTCGGCCACGCCTGAGTCGCTAACCAGCTCGGTGGCAGCCGAGTCGTCACCCAACTCTATGGCTTCATGAAGCACCATTCTCCGAGCGGTGCTTAGGACAGACGCTCGACCACCCTGTTCTTCACCGCAACGGGTGGGCGAAGAATCACCATCTTTCCGCTGTGGATCCGTCTGGATGCCGACAGTCACCTCACCGCCTTCCACCACGGGTTCTTCGCCTTTCTCATCGTCATGAACCCGAGCTTCCACTGCGGGTTCTTCTTCGTCTTCATCGTCGCCAAGAACGGGAGCTTGCACGAACGTCCACTGACCTCCCTTAACGACACCCTCTCGCATCATGGCCACAGCCGAACGACTGTGCAGAACCTCTTCGGACGTCCCGATCACAAGCGCTCGTGCGTGGAGCCTCTTCACGTCTTCCCGAGTCGGCCAGTGTCGAGTCTCCTCTCCCCGCTGTAGAGCATGCGTTTCACCCGGAGCTCCTGCACTCTCGGTGTCAGTGTCCACGGACGCACCCTCCGAAGCATGACGTTCACACTCGTTACCCCCGGTCTCCAACACTTTGCGAGACTGTCAGCGTTGAGTCTTCTCTTCCCGATGTACAGCACACGTTCCCGGAGAGCGCTCCTCTTCCCCAGGAGTATGACGTTCGTACTCGCCACCCCCGGTCTCCAACACTCATACAGCAGGCCCCTCCAGCACGTTGCGAGACCGCCAGTCTCGAGTCTCAACACATGAGAACGGAGGCGAGCAGGGTAACCCTGTGTCCAACTGAAGATGCGGGGGGCGGGACGTCACATTTTCTTGGCCCCGCGGAACTGTTGCGTGAGGAGCACTTATGGCAGAGGGCGATGTCAGCAAATCCGAATGTATTCGGAGTTTGTGGCGGTCGCCCAAGCCGAGGGAACCGAAGGTCGCACCTTCGCTCCTTCGCAATGCAGGCATCCCACCCTCTAGGCAAAACAAAGAGGCGCCCTCTTTCAGGAGCAAGGTGTTGAGCACAGGAGACCTCTGCTATGCACAGCAGGATGGACTCTCCTCGGCAACGGGAAACAAAGTCCTCGCAAACAAGTGCGAATCTACTCGCACTTGATCAGACCTCAGGGTGGCCTCGTCTCGCATGTCGGAATCTCGACTCCCTACGCAGTGGGGGTCAGTTTCCATATACTGGGAACTCCCGAACGTTCTACGCTTTTCGCCCGACCCCTTCCCGCCCGACCCCTTCCCGCCGGACCCTTTCCCGCCCGACCCCTTCCCGCCCAGCCCCTTCCCGCCCGATCCCTTCTCGCCCGACCCCTTTCCGCCTGAGTCCTTTCCGCCTGACCCTTTTCCGCCGGACGCCTTCTCTACCGACGATGCCTCGCCCATCCCCTTTCTGGCCAACTGTGAGCCGTCTCCTCCGCCACCTCCGCCGTCTCCTTCGTCTCCTCCTCCACCCCCTCCCGGATGCTGACCGCCCGACAGAGGTTGCGGCATGCGCCAGTCAATGCCACGAGACGGTGCCGTTTCGAGTGTGTAGAAAGGCGCTTGAAACTCTAACATGTTGTTGGCGTACAACTCATTTAGCTTTTGTTCTGCATACGCAGCGACGTCCGGATCGCTCCTCTCGGGGTTCATAAGACTCAAATGCTCCACCAGAGCATGTCTCGTCGTTCTCTTAAATGCACCCGCTCCCTGTCTCTTCAGTCCACTCCACTTGCCATCGGCCTCCTTCATTGCCATGACCCACATTCCATTCTTCACTGCAGGTTGGAATATCCTCGGGTGCCAAGCGACGTTGTGTCCCCAGACATCCTCCGACGTGAACCGGTGATGCTTGCCGAAGAAGTAGAGTCTGTCATTCTTCCAGGTGTCGTGGTCCTGAAGGAGCCTGTCACAAGGTTCGTGATCATAGTCTCTCTCTTCCTCCCCGTCATCAGACGATTGGTCGTCGACTGGTTCGCCCCGGAACACACGCTTCAAACCGGCAGGGGACGTGCTATATCTCCGAGGGCCACCTTCCTCTTCATCACCAACCTGTCCAACCACCCGAGGAAGTGGCATGGACTCAAAATCGAAGGTTTCGGAGTCGCTCAGCTCCTCCATGTCTTCAGCGTCGAAAGGGTCCTCCTCGTCAAACTGTGACTTGTAGTTTTCGAGGGTGAGCGGTTCGGCCAGCGTGAAGTAAACGTGCTCTTGCCTTCTCAGGAAATGTGAGACAGACTCCCTAGGTGCATCGTGGTACCCATTGAGCACACCGAACACCAGGTTTCTCCGTCGACTGTATTCGAGGTCGGTCGGACCAGGCGGTCCGGGTTGGAAAAGGAAGTCTCAAACCTCCGTCCTTTTGTCCCCCGACAATTTCCAATACATATCACGTTTGGGATCCCAGTTTCGTTCGCCGGTGGTCTGGACAAACTCGCAAGCATTGCGAGTGTCTGCAATGCGTATCTTCACGAACTCGTGAAGGTAATCGATCATTTTCGCCTCCTTCACCAACGCGACGACGTTCCGACCGGTGCGTAGGAGTTCCCACACGACAGACGCATGCGCCTTCCGAAAGAAAAAAACAGTTTTCCCAGCTTTGCAAAATTTTTCGAGTAGATCAAGTAGACGGGACGGGTTCCGGTCCATCTCCCCGTAAGCAGCTCCACTAACACTTGTCACGCCACCCTCCTCCCGTATGCTACGAGAGAACCTTTCCTCTTCCGCCACGTCGAAACACGCCATAGCCTGTCCTGATGGGTCCGACGAACAGATAGCTTTCGAGCGGGCCGCCACCGTGTGTTTGGCCGCACTTGGACCATGAGCAAGGGAAGCCTTTGTCGGGCTACTGGCCGGCTAGACTGCGAATGTGTTGTCTTCCAGCTTCTCGCCATTAAAAATCACGTACAGGCGGTCACACTCCTCAACCAACATATTTCCTTCCCAGACAGTGACCTGCTTTTGTGCATTGCGCACCCACTTCCCTGTCCTGACGTGATGGACCCTAAGCCTGGCCATGCCTTTCAAGAAACTGAGCTCCCAACGAGAGGGGAAAAAAATCACAAGTGCCCAGTGCGTTGGCGAAAGTGTTTGGAGAACGCCTTGCAAGTTGGCGAAATCGTCTTCTCGCCAGTCTGTGAGGAGTGTGGGATCACACAAATCGAGGACGTACAGGTTGCACACGTAATGTCGCACAACCTCACGGATCGCAGTGACATGACTGTGAACTTGGGAAGGCGGGAAAGCGAAAGGAATAAGGATGGTCACCTGGTTGAGGTCGGGCCATTTGATGTGCCTCACATCCCCGCTGACCCTGATCGTGTCTCGAACTTCTTCTTCCGTTCGTCGCAAGATGGAAAAGATAGACTTTTCGAAAGATTTAGGGAACCTGTCATCATCGTACAATATCTTCGCGTCGTCGAGGGACTCCTTCTTGTGCGGAAGAGTACGTTTGCAAGTGTTCACGTACTCCACCGCGCCCTGGAAATGCTTTCGCATTTCGACCCACACCTGTTTCGTGAGGCCCTGCGGCATGAACTCCTCCAGAAGTCGCCCCTCGATCCGGAAAAAAGGGCTCCCGTAGCGCCAAACACGTTTGTCCTGCTCCGTTTCAAGGAACAAGATGTAGTGGAACATACGGAGCATCATACAGTCCACTTTCCTCGCCGCGACCATGTCTTTAATTCCAGGTTTATGCTGACGCTTCAGATGCCCGCCTGCGGATTGCACGAACACTCCCCTTAGTGCGAGAATGTTGTCGAGGATCGACAGTTTCTCGACATCGATCATGTCGGCGAGACACTGCCAACAGAACATGTCTGGCTCCTTCACGACCACGAAAAACTTGTCGTCCGCTTGCGTTTTCTTTTTGGTCGGAGGCGGCGGGACCCGGACCAGCCACCCCATCTTCGTTTCACCAGCTGCCCCTTTCGAGCCCATTTTCGGAATTGCTTGCAGACCCAAAAATTTGTCTGGCATGTATTTGCCCGGCCTCGACAATGGCGTCTTGCCGTCGCCGCCCAACAACTTTCCCTCCACCCATTTCGCGTAGAACTCTATGGCTTTGCGGAAAACGTCATCACCGGCCGTCACAAGTGGCATCCACTGCCTTAATGCATTGCCAACGGCAGCGACATACTCCTTGTCGGCGAGCGATAAATGTTTTTCTGCCAACGTCCTGTGAGCTTCGTTCGGACTCTTTCCCAAAAGCAGCTTTTGGAATTCGAAAAAGTTTTTTTTTTCGGCCTCCTTGCCGGAAGGGTTGCCTTGAATGGCCATCGGCCTTCCTTCTTTCCCCCATGCCTCCGACATGTCCAAGAACGCGGCCTTCTGCGATCGCTGCTTAGACATCTTGTCTCTCGTGTTCTCGTTGAGACTGACCTGCCTATACCCCGCGAACCTCGGTCGGAGAACCACACTACTCTCGCCGGCCACGAGTGCATCTTCCACAAATCAAATATTGGCTCACCCTCCAACTCCTTCACAACAGCCACGGTGTTTTGTCCGTTAACAGGGTAATAGTAGTACTTGTCCTTGTCCTCTGGGTTGAAGACATCTTTGTGTACCCTGTCAGCTTTCTCCGGCTTACGTGTCACCGGCTTGTAGATGGGTGCCAGAACCAAAGGGTTTTTCGTCCAGATCTTCCTCTTTTTCTCGCGGAATTGACTCAGCATCGCAGCCTTGATGTCGTCCACAGTTTCGCGATTTAAGGCGGGAGACCTTCCTGGGGTCGATGAGCAGTTGGACGGGGAACTCCTTCTCCACGATTTCACCGCCATCGTTCCGCTCGTATTCGAGCCAGCACGCTGCCGCTTCGTCTCACTCCTCACCGACAGGACGTTCGCCACCACTTGCCGCCTCAGCAGTCTTCCGGCTTCGAGGTTTCTTCTGGCCATCGCCTTCTTCAGTTGCCACTTTCCGTTTCGATTTCCCCAAAGGTTCTCTCGCGGCCGCAGCGCCTGGATTAGCCGAATCTCCTTAACCCATGGCTTGTCCTTCGTGGATGGTCAAACCGCCGGGCCTCCTTGCTTTCCTCCTTGCCGTCTCACCCTCTTCCTTCGACGGCCTCTTACCTGAGGCACGTTCTCCGACGTCACCTCCATCCCCGCCCATCACCGCCTCCGATTTTCCTCTCATCCTCTTTATGCGGAGGGTTCCCTCCGCCAACTCCTCTCGCACCATCCTCTGTCGCTCGCGCTTCTTCTCCGAAGGAGTCGCTCCCCGCCAGAGCTTTCGTGGACATCGCCCATCCCTTCAACCTCATTCCCTCCAACATCTTGCCCTGATCTGGCGGATTCTCTTCTCGTCGCATCTCGAAGCGAATACATTTCGCCGCCGCAGTGGACCTTGAGGAGTTTCGGAGTACCGACCCGTTGAGTCCCTGTACCCTGAGAATGCAAGTCCGACGTGTTCCCAGGAGCATCCGGGCCGACCTGTGTTTAAATGCTGCGCGCGAGCCCCTTGACCCGATCCCCAGCGTCGTGAATCGCACTCTCGCGCCCCACTGCCGTCCCTGGAGTTTCTTGAGCCAAACCGGACGACCCCTCATGGGGTGGCAGAAGCCGAAAAACATGTTCTCGCGGAAGAACTGGACGTTCTTTCGACACTATCAGCGCGAGATCAAGATATTGCTCTGGCGATGGAAGACGCTTGCTGTCGCCATCGTAAAGGCCTTTGAAGTGAGAGCACAACGTCATGTTCGAGCCGTACCCCGCAAAATTCTTGATGGTCACCAGCACACCCTTAACACCTCTGAGGGGCAGTCTGCACTCGTCGTACAAGCCGTTAGTGTGCAGCTTGAGCAAACCTCCAGGAGTCTTGGCGCACGAGACGATGGTACCGAGAACGCAAGTGGGTCGCATAAAAACAGCTGGCCCAAAAAGGTCCCCCTGAACAACGAAGTCCAAAAACCATTGTGCTCCCATTGCGTGCATATACTGAGGAGTAGATTGCTGAAGAGGTCGTTCCTCCCCGGGGGCAGATGGTCCAGCGCTTGTGGATGTGTTATTTGCGGACGCCATTGTACTCCCACCGAGAGAAGGTTAACAACAGTCGTACTTTTCATCACCACTTCAGGACACCCTTCCCCACTTCAGGATGCAGCCTGCCTAAACAGGTGGTTTTCAGGGTCTTCGCACCTTTCACCACTTCAGGACCATTCAGGTATGAAAATCCTGAATGGTCCTGAAGTGGTGAAAGCTCCAAAGACCCCGAAAACCATCTGTTTAGGCACGCTGCATCCTCAAGTGGTGAAGGGTGGTTTTCATGGCCTTCAGACCTTTCACCACTTCACCACCATTCAGGAATTTCATACTGCCATAAACTCTCACTTGACCACTTCAGGACACCCTTTCAGACTGCCATAAACTCTCACTTGACCATTTCAGGACACCCTTCACCACTTCATGATGCAGCTTGCCTAAAGAGGTGGTTTTCAGGGTCTTCGGACCTTTCACCACTTCAGAACTATTCAGGATTTTCAGACTGCCCAAAACTCTCACTTCATAATTTTCATTCCTGAATTTTCAGCTATCCGATAACCGCTTGTGCTCCCACTCGTTGACTAACACGCCCAACCTTAGACCAACTCGGATGACTAATACGCCCAACCTCAGACCACTACAGAAGCGAAGTGCGAACTAACTCGGACTTAACGAAATGGAGGACGAAAAGGACGTAAGAGATGGGTATTCGAAATGCACACAAAGTCACAACAATCGGGTGAAGGATAGGAAAGACAGCAGTCCTTTGGCAGAGTGAGTTCGGAAGGAAGACAACAGCTCCACGGAGAGAGTGCGAACGAGCTCGCTGTCATAGAATCGAGGAAGAGGTGATTTATCTTCAGGAAAGTGCAAACTAACTCGGAAATTTGGGAATGAAGTCATCTACAACAAGTACCGCATGGGTATCGACAAGGGGGAACCGACGTGCAGTTCTGGGCTGAAGGAAACCAAAGAATGAGATTGGTGTTTGAAATGCAAACGAACACAAAACAATTGGGTGGCTGGCAGAGTGAGTTCGGAGGGAAGATGACAACTCTTCGGAAAGATTGCGACCCGACTCGCTAACCTCAAACTGAGTAAGATTTGGTTTATCGACAAGTGCGAAAGGTGTCGACAAGTATGAACTAACTCGCAGTTTTGTAGACAAGACAACAATGGCAACCCGCAGTACTAGGGGAAAGTGTGAGCTAACTCGGAATTGTGGAACTGAAGACCTGAAAGACACACGAAACGAGTAAGATGTGGTTTATCGACAAGTGCGAAGAGTGTCGACAAGTGCGAA